TGTGTATATGTGTGTATGTGTATGTATGTATGTGTATACGTGTGTATATGTATGTATGTGTATACGTGTGTATATGTATGTATATATACGTGTGTGTATGTATGTATGTATATACGTGTGTGTATGTATGTATGTGTATATGTGTGTGTGTGTGTGTATGTATGTATGTGTATACGTGTGTGTGTGTATGTATGTATGTATGTGTATACGTGTGTATATGTATGTATGTGTATACGTGTGTGTATGTATGTGTGTATACGTGTGTGTATGTATGTATGTATGTGTGTACGTGTGTGTGTGTATGTATGTGTATATGTGTGTATGTGTATGTATGTGTATACGTGTGTATGTGTATGTATGTGTGTATACGTGTGTATATGTATGTATGTGTGTATACGTGTGTATGTGTGTACGTGTGTATACGTGTGTATATGTATGTATGTGTGTATACGTGTGTATACGTGTGTGTATACGTATACGTATGTATGTGTGTATACGTATGTATGTGTGTATACGTATGTATGTGTGTACGTGTGTGTGTATACGTATGTGTGTGTGTATACGTATGTGTGTGTGTATACGTATGTGTGTGTGTATACGTATGTGTGTGTGTATACGTATGTGTGTGTGTACGTATGTATGTGTGTATACGTATACGTATGTGTGTGTGTACGTATGTATGTGTGTATACGTATACGTATGTATGTGTGTACGTATGTATGTGTGTATATGTATGTGTGTATACGTATACGTATGTATGTGTGTACGTATGTATGTGTGTATACGTATACGTATGTATGTGTGTATACATGTATATATGAACTGCATAAGTTTGTTTGACAGACATTAACTTGATGTTTTAACAGGTGATGAAACAACATGAACTTCACTTTCAGAAAGCGTACTTGTGTTTAGCCTTTCTTTGTCCACTTCTGCACTCATCTGCCAACTGTGTGTGCGTGCGTGCGTGCGATATATATATATATATATATATATATATATATATATATATATATATATAATAATCAGTGCTTAGGAAGCTGGTTTACTGCTGTACTTCACTGCACAGTGAGGAGAGCGAGCAGCGCTGAGGAAGAACTCTTCCTTCACCAGTGTGTACATCGTTTCTCTTTCTGTTGTTTCTCTTTGCTGTTCGTCATTTTTAAATGTTTGTACGAGGCCGTTTGTTTTGTTTCTGTTTTCCATTTTCTATAAGAAAAAGAAGAAGAGAAATGGGCGGAGAGACGAGCTGAACTTTTTCTTTTGAAGAAATAAAGTGAAAAGAAAACAGATGAACAGTTGTGTTTTGGTCGTGCGTGTGTGCGCGTGCGTGCATGTGCGTGCGTTATGAAAGAAGTGTCACATGACCGTGAGAATGAGTTTGACTATTGATCAGTAAATATTGCAGTGTAACCTGAGGTTGGTTCAGCTGATGTTCCAACACCTCTAGACCGGTGGTCGCCAACCGTCGATTGCGGTTTGAGGTTCAGTGTCTCCATTACATGTTTTGTCCACCTGAGAGCACAAACAACTATAACATTGATAATAATAATAAACATTATTTATAAAGCATCTTTTATGCACAAATTCATTTCAAAGTCTTTTAAATAACAAAACTATTTAAACAGCTCTTTGTTCCAGATTATTTGTTTACACGGTAGAGAGTCCCACTCAGGACAGATATAAACATTTAAAAACGTTTATGTTTCTGTTGAATCAGTCGGTATCATAAACAGATTTGTTTTAATTTTCTGGTCTACTTCATGGCAGGATGTGCAGGACAAACGGGGTTAATTCATAGGAAATGTATATCCTCTCACACACATGCACACTTGATGTGTTGATAAGTGTCACTTCCTGACCTCGTCACTCTGAGCTTATCTGCTGGTTTCCTCGCCTTTGACACGTCAGAAATGAAAGAATAAGCAGTCATACGTGTCTGGATGTTTTATGATGAGCTGATCCTTTGACTTTATTGTTCATTTATTCCTTTCATGATGGACATTTGGTCTCCAGAAGTGCAGCTCGCTACGTGGACGGCGATGAGCCTCTGTGTGTTTTCTCACGGTGAGTTGCCGACACCATGAGACAACACTTATAATATAATATAATATAATATATATATATTTTATTTAGCTGCTTATCTAAACGTTAAACCTCATGGTTGGTTTCCACTTCTCACATATGTATTTAAAATGGAACCTGGATTACATTTACCAAACGTGCTTAATGTAGCTTCAGATCATCTGTACGTCGTTGTTATCCACGTGTTTGGATCTCTCACTGAAGTAGAAGGTAGAAATACTACACACACAAAATACTCTGTTACAAGTAAAAGTCCTGCATTCAGAATAGTACACAAGTAAAAAGTACAAATGTATTACCAGGAAAATGTACTTAAAGTAAAAGGTCTGACTATGCAAAAACACAACTTTCATGATGGAGCCTGCAAGGTCCTGAAGTTATATATTCATATATGTATTGTGTGCTACAAGATGAATACATATTTTTGATTCATATATTTGTTCATAAAATCAAAGCAACTTAAGCTGTCAGACAAATGTAGTAAAAAAGTACAACATTGTCCTCTGAGATGGACAAGTATCTCAAAGTACTACAACTCAATGATTTTACTTTAGTAAAGTTCTTATTTAGTGTTTTCACTGATCCGCTCAAACCTTCATGTTCAAGACAATTGAAATAATAAATGTAATAATTTAAAAACGTGTTTGAATCCTGACCACCAGGTTGAGAACCACTGAAATGTAAAAAGCATTTCATAGAGAAATATTCTATTAACAATCGCACTTTAATTAACGTTAGAAGTATATTCGGTTCTGATCCGTGGAACCATCAGTCAACAGTCGTTGATGTATTAGCTACATCAAGTTATATCCAGTATTTTACACCTTTGTTATTCTAAATACTCAGATTTTAACTTCACAAAGTTGCACTTTAAAGTTGTATTATATTACATAAGAACGCGTCATTAATCCCCAGCAGACGTCGTATTCACAGAACACAACAAATAAGATCCTAAAGACAAGTGAGACACGACTAACAGCTGCTACGTCTTTAAAGCACATCTAACAGGGTTCGATAACTCAAATGTAAAACAATCTGACAAAAGAATGTGAATATGGTGCTGAACAGATGTAATAAAAAAGAAGCAGCAGCGTAGATAACTGAGTCCCGTTGTTGGCTGTGTTTCTTCTCTCGGGAGGAGAATATGTTTCACATACAAGTAAATGCATTCATACAGATGTATCATGAACAGCTCAGCTCTCTGGTATCTGTGTCTGTGAAACACTGTTTAAGCTGCCGGACTTCAAAAAGTGTTTGTTTTTCTGTTTGTGTGTCAGAGGTGATGGTGAAGCAGTCTGATCTGAAGGCGTGTGGGAAAGACAAGCATGTGTGTGTGACTGACCCCAGAGACTGTGAACCTCGACCCCCTGCATCTACATGGGGTGAACACTCACACACAGTAGTCAGCAGTGGCGTAATGTAAATTATAAGTATTTCCATGTCCTCTAGGATAACACTTCAACAGTAGAGGTGATAACATATTTTAACTGAAGTGAGGCCTTTTACAGTTTTAGTACTTTTACTAAAGTAAAGCGTCTAAATACTTCGTATACAACTGACAGTCAGATATCTTGACAAGCGTTTCCCTCTGTTTTGTTTCCACACACTGTCTCAATACTCTCATGAGCTCATGCTGGGGAGAAACTGGTTTAATCAGATCCAATTCAGTTGTTGTTCATTTTTACACAAGTTTAAATTAAATATCTAAGACTTTTTCTTTGCACGCAAACAGTTTATTTCCGCTATAATCTTGTGCCTACGTCTTGATAAAGATCCACGTTGGTGAGCACTTTCCCTGATGACCCATCTGTTTATTCCATCGTATGAAGGGCTCACTGCATTGAATGGAATATAGTCTCCTTGAAAAGTAACCCAAGACACACTGCAGGGTTTGTTATTGTTGTTGTTTATTTTACATGACAATATGTACTTGACCAACGTGTTGCGACCGACTCTGTCATTCAACATGGGATACTTCCTCAAACATTGCATGTTAAACTTTCACCCTCTTGGTCATACCCGAGACTGTATTACTTATTATTACTTGGATTACAGCTGCTGCCATCTTGGCTTTTTTGCAACCAGTGAACAGGAAGTGACCATATCTGGACTGAGGAGGAGTGACGTAGAGACACCGTATACTTCTCTGGTAGAGACCTGTCAATCACCGTGTAGCCCCGCCCTAAAGCATCCCCTGCTTTATGGTCTGTTTGACTCTAAATGGATCATAATGTACTAAATGAACATCATGCTGTATTGAAGAAGACTTGAAACTAGAGATTGAGACCATAAACTCATGTTTACAATGTTTACTGAGGTAATAAATCAAGAGAGAAGTAGAGTCATTTTCTCATAGACTTCTATACAACCAGAGGAGTCGCCCCCTGGTGGACACTAGAGAGAATGCTGCTTTAAGACATGAAGCTTTGGCTTCACTCTTCAGAACCGGGGGTTGCCGCCTGGCTCGTATATCTGCTGCGCAAACTATTGTGGGTCAGAGTAGCCAGAAAAACAGGCTGGCTTCCATAACTGCAAAATGTGAATGGATGTAGTAGAACATCCTGTTATTTGTTTTTTTGTCATTCTGCCTCTGAAACTATGTATTGGGACGTTCTAAATCTTTTTCTAACAAACTAAATCGTTTGGTAGTACGGGTAGAGAAGACCCGGCAGCAGGTGTTGCACATCAAGATGATTATGACACAGGTGTGGTCCGCTCTGGTCACAATGAAAGTTGTTTTCCCGCAGAGACCCTGAACATGTCGTGTTACTACCAGGAATCACACAGGTCTTTCACATGTGTGTGGAGTCGGGAGTCAAACAGCCACACCGAGCCTGACGTCTCTCTGATCTTCAGCAGGTAAACGCTAACCAAAGGGAGACGGCTTACTACTGAAGTACATCCTCTTTTTATTGCTTTTTTCTTTCTCTTTGTATTTATTTATTGGTTTTTATCTATTAGCACGGTTTTATCTGTGTTTAAATTTTAACCTCAGTTTTTTTCTTGCTTCCGTTTGGCTTCCTGTTGTTGTACTGTACGGTGTCCTGCTATTGCTTTACTTTGTCTGTCATATCACTTTGCTTTTAAAGTTGCTATATGAACAGTTATTAATTTGGAAGTCCAGCTTTAGGCTCTGCATATCATTTCTAATCATTTCATACGTCTGACATGTAGAGGAGCAATCTTCTTATGGTGCATTTAGAGAAGTACATACTGGAAGAAACGAAAGCGTGATATCAAGGTCTTAATCTCTGTTTGTTTTTGATTTCCTTCCTTCTCTCTCTTCTTCGTCTTCTTCTTCTTCCTCAGAACATCTAAAATTGACTACTGTCCGGCATTCATCAACCCGACCACCGTCCTCAACGTAACGGCCCGGATCAAGGACTACACGGGGAGGGAGATCTGGTCTCGGCCTCACACCGTGGATCTTAAACTTGCAGGTCAGTGGACCAGATGCTTCATCACCGCAGTAACCCAGTAATGAATACCAGCCAACTGAATGTTTCCAGGAGATCACTGACTCCTTGTCCCCTCTCTTTGCGTCCTTGTCTCCTCTTCTCAGTCAAACCCTCTCAGCCTGTGTTAAGTCTACTTGCCTCCACTGAGGACTCAGTCAGTGTGTCTTGGAGAAGCAGCGGTGGCGGCGTCTGTCGGCTTCGATACAGAGTCGATGGCGATCACACATGGACCTGGGTTATCATACAGGTTACAAAAACATTGTTCTCCGTACTGTGCTTAAGTACAAAGTCGAGGTACTTGTACTTGAGCATTTACATGTTTTGCTACTTTCTACTTCTCCTCCACTACATCTCAGGGATAAATATTGTACTTTTTACTCCACCTCATTTGTCTTACAGCTTTAGTTACTGGTTACTTCCTGTCCAGGTAAAACCACGTATCTCCAGATGTGTTGATGCTGAATGTTTGTGGTAAACTGAAGGATGAAGTGTTTCCTTTATGTACCCTTCTTCAGCTAAATAAACTCTTTTAAAAGCCTTTTGGATCAGCTGGAAAATGCATCGTCACAAAGCTGACAACAGGCTGTTCTTTTTGTGGTTCTCACAGGTCAGCAATGCTACAAACGTATGATGATCTTATAGAATGTGATGCATTGATGTAGATTAAACTAACAGGATATAAAGGAATAGTAAAACACGGACACAGAATACTTCTTCCACCACTTATTGTACTGACTTTTTACCTGGAAGCCCGATCTTTAACAACTGTACAACCACTATGGAGTGTTTATTTTTTAAATGCTACAATTTTAATCTTTTGTGTTATTTGTTTGATTAACACTGTATGTATGAGGCCTTTAACCCTAAGATAAAGTTAAACTTATGTAGATCCGCTTGTCCCTAGATGAGTCCCCACAATGCATCTGTGGGTCTGAGTCCCCACGACGCTATTGGTACAAGAACACACACATACTGAAAAGTTCATGTCTTAGCTGAGCTTGTTTTCAGAGCAGCTGGAGGTTTGGTTCCAGTACTCGTCCGACCCCTTTTCTTTGTAAGACTGGAAAGCTTAACAATTGCTTCACGCAGCAGGGATGGAAATTTGAGGCTAAATTTCATATAAATCATGTAAAATACGAAAATTAAAAGTATTGAGATGGTGGAATGACATTTGACACATCTGATATCGGAGATTTCTGTTTGGTGGAGACAGATTTCTCGGTGACCAAATACCAAAAAGTTTTTTCTCTCATTAATTTGCTGTATTTTGTTTTGGTTGCCAGGCTCTAGATTCTGTTCCTGCACATGAAGATCAAACACAGAACTACACAATCAAAGACCTCCTGGTGTCCACCGTCTACAGAGCTGCTGTGGCCTGCATAGAGAAGTCCGGCATCTGGTGGAGCGACTGGAGCTCCGACGTCAGCGCGAGGACGCTGGACAAGGGTACCAGTTTACATTCAAACCCAGATTAAATGAATGTGCCGAGGAGATTCACAGGATGTGGGAAGAAACTTAGAAAGAGACTTTGTGAAATTGTCTGAACATGTTTTTCATTTGCAGCGCCCTCTCGGCCTCCAGAGGTGTGTTACAGAGTGGAGAAAAATGACTCTGGTGGATCTTTTCTCCTTCATCTCATGTGGAAGGTACATCAGCAATACTTTTTACAGTCATCAATAAAAGAATTGACTTTTTCAGAGCATACAGAAAAGTCATTTTCTATACGTCCTGTCATCTTTGACGGTCCGTCACAGACGAGCAGCGTCACAGACTTGTTTGCTCTGAGAGAACAGTGTACTCTTTGTATGTTGTGCCGCAAAGAAAAGAATAAAACTAAATAAGAAGTAGCCTTTGAAAACTAAAACTATACAAAACATATAACATTAAACAAGTACAAATTAAACCATAATACGAAAGACGAACAATTGAGCTAATTTATTTTTAATGCAAAGTCTTATTGAATGATCTGTGGAATCTCTGTGCAAAAATACCCAAACTTTGGGAGGTGATTTAGCATAACGTCGCACCAACAAGCAGAATCTCACATTTCAGAAATGTTATGTCTTAATGTCAGTAATGTTATGTCTTAATGTTAGTAATGTTAGCAAACATCACCGGTTCTTAGAAAGAAAGAGGCAACAGATTTGTGGACTAACTAAAGATGCAGAAAAATAATTTGACTGACAAAAAATAAACCAAAACATTGTTCAACACAAAACTCAAACTAACAAACATCTTAATTTGACTGAAACTAATATCCGTTTCCACACAAACGTCCCGTCTCTCTGCAGGACCTCGACCTCCGTGATGCCGGAGGTCGTATCCTTGGATACCAGGTGAGCTACGAGCCGTCCGAGAAGAAGAAGAAGAAGAGGCAGCAGCAGCAGCAGCAGCAGCAGCACAGACACATTCAAAACGTCACAGAGGTGACGGCGCTCCTGGAGGTGGACGAGGGGAACTGCAGCGTCACAGTCGCAGCCTTCAACGCGGCTGGCTACGGACCCGCTGCACATCTCAGCATTGACCCAGAAAGATGGACCAGTGAGTGTCACACTGTGGTTATCACATAGACATACTGATATTTATTCACATGGTCATGTCCTGGGGACGTGTTGATGCACAACAAGATGCATAGGATTTCCAAGCAGCAGTGAGTCCTGTTTATCCATCAAATGTGCCGATCGTGAACTTTTAAACTGACACTATCGTGTTTAAAGCTCTCTACTTCTGCAACATCCTGTCAGAGAAGGAAGCAGGCGTCTTGATGTTCAAATAAAACTTATTGCAACACGTCAAATATTCTTTGATTAGGAAATGTTTACTTGTATCAAGTGTTTTTGACTTGTAGCTGTTTTAAAAGAAGGGATCTTGAACTGTGCAGGGCTGCAAAACGCTCAACAGATTTAAATAATGAGTATAGCTATTGTTCATGATGAAGATGCAGGTATCACTAAGCATCCTTTTGTATTGTGCAGCCCCCCCGTCGGTCAGACACTTCTGGGTCTCCAGTTCCTTCCCGGCTATGAAGGGCCTTCTGGTCCAATGGGAGAACCCCAAAGTCCCGCCCACTGTCCCGCCCGTCAGTCATCTCGCTGTTCAGTGGCGCTCCCAGACTCGTCCAACCACCGGCAGCCGCTGGACCACAGTGGACAACCTCACCACCTCCGCTGTCATACCAGGTGAAAGTGTTGGAATACTCAACTTCTTGTTTATTTTCTGAATTATCCATTTTTGGGGAAAATATCCAACAACCCCAGAGAAGATACTTGTTTAGGTTGTGTGTGTTTTAAACGGTTGTGACGAGTGAAGCCAATGCTGACGTGTCTTAAAGCTGCGTTCTCTCGACTCAGAATTGGATGCTGGTTGCTTACGTCAAACTTCTCTGATCTCCTGATCTAGAAGCTGCTCTGTCACACATCTGATAACCCTTGTGTCATCCCTGGGTCAAAAATGCCTCTCTGTTTAACTTGCTGTAATAAATAACCATCACTATAAGAACAAAACACTTTCTGCAGCTGTTTCACAATAAAAGCATTTTAGCAGCTGGGCTTTTACTTTGAAATGGCTGCAGAGCAAAAGAAGCTAATGAAAAATAAAAGCCTGTTTCAAACAAAGGCCTGACTCACTTTTTATTTGAGGTGAATAGATACCAAGAACATACATCATATTCTATTTACAACATGTACTAACTGTGTGTGTTTGCAGATGTTGACCGTGAGGAGTCCTACCTGATCAGCGTGTTCCCCATCTACCACCAGCAGTGTGGACCTCCTCAGTCGCTGCCGGCCAGTCTGCAGCAGGGAGGTAAACATGCTGGTGACGGTTACATCCGACCTTTTTAAAGCCGGTTAGTCCAGCTCAACCTGAGGCTTCCCCCCTCAGATAAGACCTCATCCCCCCCAGTTAGCATGCTAGCGACAGCGTTACACGTTCACTGGGAACACCGTACGTGATGATTGATGGAGGAAGACTGAAGATCGGTACTGTAGCAAAGCAGTCTGCAGCTTTCTTTGCTTTAGGGTTTTGAATCATTTAATCTTGTTTTACTTTGAGATCAATTTGAAAGAAGAAGAGATTGAGGAAATCACAGGACTGTCGTTCTTTGGCAGTAAAAAGAAAGTTAAAAAATACAGAATGAGTTAAAGTGTAGGCACACTAATATTAGATTGTTATGTGTAAGAATGAACAAAGACAGAATAATTACATAGAAGAAATAATAATTAATCTGACATCTAATATTGATTTCCGGTGAACCGGAACAGGATATCTTGCATCATGAATTAAAATAGAATTGTGTGCAGGACTCGACAGCAACAATTGCCAGGCTGCCATCCATTGTGGCAACCACTCTAACAGATGAATGACAGCAAACAGCAGAACATGCATTACATAGAAGAACCAAACATGAAGGGAGAAACATTTGAATAAATAAAATATATTTACTACATAAATATCCGCAGGAAACATAAAACTGCTTACTGTTGTTTACACTACATGTATTTATATTTGCAATACCAGTGCTTCATGTGTTAAAGCAGCATTCTCTCTAGTGTCCACCAGGGGGCGACTCCTCTGGTTGTATA